TGTCCAGTCTAAACACAAGACAGTATTTTCAATCTCAGAAATTATTTTTTAAAATTCTTCCATCAAATTAGAATTCAACCACTAACAGAAAAGCAGAAAAAAATAATATTCCTGTTTTCAAGTTTCATTTCCATCAAAATTTGCATTTCAAACAGTAGATTTTTTTTAGACATTTGAAAGTGTCAGTTATCCAAAACAATCAAGTATTTGGTTCTTCATTTAGTAAATAATTAGTTTTCAAAACCTTTCCTATGCTGTTACTACAAACATAAACAAAATATACCATGGTTCTACCAAAATCCATTTCCTTTATTTGATTACTTGGCAACTTCAGTAGTATTCATTCTGTAAAACCAGAATATTGTTATTTTATGATCAACTGTTATAACAGGATGACCTAAAAGAATAAGGTAAGAAAGAACATCACAGACAGTACCTCTAGTTTCTTTTATATTTGTTCTACTGAAGCCTACATCCAAGACAATTATTTATACATGGACAACTTTTTGTTCTATCTTCACCTCTAAGACTTGTTTAAACAACTTACCAACTGTGAAGAGGCATTACCATCAGCTGATGATTCTAAATTTTCTTCTTCGTTAGACTCATCACTATGTTCATCTGTGTATTCTTGTCTCCGCCTTTTCTGGGATCCAGGCTTTGAAATACTTTCCTCCTTTCTCTTACCCATGAGTACTGAAAAATGAAAGTAACAAAATATTCTAGGTTTCAGTCTTCTAGATGAAAACATATCCATAGGTAATAGCACAGACGTACCAAATTATTGAATTTGATAAAAGAAATATTAAGATCATAGCAAACATTGCACAAATACTTTTTCAGAACTGAAATCTTGGTAATTTAAGCCTAAGCGTACTATGAAAGAGTTGCATGAGAACAAAAGAAGCACAGCTTCATAATACTAATCAAGCTGAATTTGTTGATTAACAGTAAAATCAACTTTAATTCTGTTTTGCTTGGTAGATTAGACTTTGGAATATTTGCTAGAATTGTTTTTGGTTAGCGATAAAGTTGAGGATCAGCTGGCAAAAAGAAGATAACTAACATAGTGTGATCAGCAGCATCAATGCAGATACGATTAAAGTAAGCTGTACAGCTGAAAAGAAAATGTGTTAATTATTTGTGGTTGACAAAAGCCTAGAAAATTTATATGCAGAACACACAGAAGTAGAATAAAGGAAAATTTATATTCATAGCATTGTTCCTGTGCTGTTTCTTACACGCAAGGCAGTGTAATGTGATCACAGTAAACAGAATGCTATTACTCTCTTAATGAAGGATAACAGTTCTCTCTCTATAGAGGACATACGCATAAATCAATAAATAACACACAGACTTCCAGAACTAATAGGACTGGTCAGAATCTTGCAAAAGTAATGAGCTTTACTAAAGTCATATAAAACTGAAAGAAGCATTAGGATTAATCAAAATCTCACATTCTCTGTAACTTTAAGCTTCTGGCATGGTTTTTATTCCCCCAAAAGTACATATTACATTTTTCATGTAGAGTCCTACAGTCCCAGAGGTCTACACAAAACATGGAACTTGACATACTTGCCCAAAGTAGAAGCAAGGTCCTGTTTATACAAAGGCAATGCACAATCTTTCTACTTGTTAGTAATTTAGTCAGCTACTGCTAATCGTCCAAACCAGGTTAAAATTGACATCAGTTGCATAGTTTTCCAACATTAAAACTTTTCTGAAATGGAATTATGTTCTCCTACTCAACTCTGTACTAAAATTTTGTCTAGAGCTCCCTTCTAAGAAAGACAGTAGCTCTGATGCACATCACCATTTCGAGCAAAATTCAGAGGCATTAAATGTAATTAGCATTTACTGCTATAGAAAGATCACTGTGGCCTAAGAGTAGGCTGCTTATTTATAAAAATAATTTTAAAAAAATATTTTTTAAAAAAATTGGGTGGGGTGCATGAAAGAATGACTACCATTAGAGACATTGCATGCCTGAAGTTGGTACCACATGTCATGGTTTGACACCAAAGTGACTGTGTGGAGACTAAACACACTGATGGCTTAGAGGCCAGAACACTCCTAGACATGGATACATGAGATGATAACAAGCGAGCACTTCCTTGTCCCACAGGAAAGATGAAGTGATCCAGGAGAGAAGCAGGTACAACAGTTCCTAACATGACCTCCTGCCTCCTGGAGGGAGATGACATGGTCTGCGAGAAAGCAGGACGGATCAGCACAGTGGGTCCAGTGTGCCATGCACAGCCTCAGGACTCCATGAGGTGCCCTTGTTAAAGCCCTCAGGCCCTCCCAGAGCTTCTCAGTGGGTCTTGCTCTACATGCTCTCTTTAAATGTTTTAAGATTAGTAACTTGGAGAATATACAGAGAACTTGGTGAAATGAAGACAGTTGAATTACAACTTTAGTCATAAGAACTAGTGCTGCAGCAGAGAGGTGTAAGACCCCAAAGCTCACCCTATGAGCTCTTCAAAGGGGTTTTACTTTAAAAATATACAAGGCTCAAAAAATCTACCTGCTGGATTTATTAAAAGGGCCTTCAGTTCTTTTAATACCTTAAGAATGAGCACACAGGAGAACACTGCACACATTTTTTCAGGAGGTCAAATAACACACTTTTACTGGCAAACTTTAGAAAATAAGGGAACTTGGCAAAGGTTTAAAGGGTAACATTCAACCAAAATAAAGCATTCCACAAAGCATTGACTTAGCACATGCTAACACAACTTAGCAAAATCCAACCTATCCAGCTTTAAGTTAGCAAAAAACAAGGAGATTAGAAGAAACAAAGAGAGAGAAGAAGAGAAAATTATCGCTACCACCCCAGATCCAGCAAAGATCCAGCTACCAGGAGCCCAGGAGATGGCAGGACTATGACCACACAAGGGTCGCATGGTGTTGGTTTTATCTGCTCTGGCCCCTTGTGGCCACACCTTCCAGACTGAACTTCTGGCCCACTGGCCACTCTGGGGTTCCGGGGTGGGGTGTGGCCAGTGCTCCCGGTGTCCAGCAACAGATAGCTGCTCTGGAGCTGTCCAAAAAGGCTCCAAGGGGCTGGAGTATGGAACAGGGCACTATTCCACCTTCGTGAAATTAGACCTGTCTCTTCCCCATACACAAACACTTGAGTTTGTCCAAGTCAATAATAAATATAATAATCCAGTGTCTCATAAGAGGAGCCGTCTTTCTTCCCTGTCCCTCTACTGATTCTATCTCATCCCCTGTAGTTAAAGCAGCTCTCTACACAACAAAGGGGGAAGGGGTTGAAACCGGGCTCTCCAGTGATCAACCTAGGGATGGAAAGCCTGAGTTAAGAATTAAATCAACAGCCCACCTGAAGTGCATGTACACTAATGCACGCAGTATGGGCAACAAACAAGAGGAGCTGGAAGCCACTGTGCAGCATGAAGGCGGATGTCTCGAAATCGTCAGCCCTTGTCCTTGTGGGTGACTTTAACCTGCCGGATATCTGCTGGGAGCTCAATACTGCAGAGAAGAGGCAGTCTAAGAGGTTCCTGGAGTGTATAGAGGACAATTTCCTTCATCAGCTGGTAAATGAACCTACCAGGGGTAAGGCCCCGCTAGACCTGCTGTTTACAAACAGGGAGGGGCTGGTGGGAGATGTAGTGGTTGAAGGCCGTCTGGGAAATAGTGACCACGAAATAATGGAATTTTCAATACTCAGAGATTCAAGGAGAGCCAACAATAAAACTTCTACGCTGGACTTCCAGAGGGCAGATTTTGACCTATTCAGAAGTCTAGTCCAGAGCATACCCTGGGAAACAACCCTTGAATACAAGGGGGTTCAGGAGGGATGGATGTGCTTCAAGCAGGAAGTTTTGAGAGCACAGGAACAGGCCGTACCGGTGTGCCGAAAGGCAAGCCGGCGGGGAAGACAACCAGCTTGGTTAAACAGGGAGATTCTGAAGGAAATCAGGGATAAAAAGAGAGTTTACCAACTATGGAAGAAAGGGCTGGCTACTTACGAAGAATTCAGGAAGACAGCTAGATCATGCAGAAAGAAAATCAGGGATGCAAAAGCACAATTTGAAGTTAAATTGGCCACTTCTGTTAGGAATAACAAAAAGTCCTTCTATAAATACATTAATAACAGAAGGAGGGGCAAAGAAAACCTCCATTCTTTGATGGACTTGGAGGGAAAAATAGTTAATAGAGATGAGGAGAAGGCTAAGATACTTAACACCTACTTTGCCTCAGTTTTTACCAGTAAGACAGGTGGCCCTCAAGGCAACTGGCCTCTGAAGCTGGTAGACAGAGATAGGAAACCAAATAGCCCCCTTGTATTCCGGGAGGAAATAGTTGGTGACTTACTGAATCATCTGGATCCTCACAAGTCTATGGGACCAGACGGGATCCATCCTAGGGTGATGAGGGAGCTGGCAGAAGAGCTTGCCAAGCCGCTCTCCATCATCTTCCAACAGTCCTGGTCACTGGGGAGGTCCCATATGATTGGAAGTTGGCGAATGTCACGCCAATCCATAAAAAAGGATGCAAGGCTGACCTTACTAATTACAGGCCTGTCAGCCTGACCTCGGTGCCTGGCAGAGTTATGGAGCAGATCATCCTGTGTGCAATCACACAGCAGCTACAGGATGGACAAGGAATCAGACCCAGCCAGCATGGGTTTAGGAGGGGCAGATCCTGTTTGACCAACCTGATCTCCTTTTACGATCAGGTGACCCACCTGGTGGATGAGGGAAAGGCTGTGGATGTGTCTATCTGGACTTCAGCAAAGCCTTTGACACTGTCTCCCATAATATACTCCTGAAAAAGCTGGCAGCCCATGGCTTGGACAGGAGCACTCTGTGCTGGGTCAGGAACTGGCTGGAGGGCCGGGCCCAGAGAGTGCTGGTGAACGGGGCTGCATCCAGCTGGCGGCCGGTCACCAGTGGTGTCCCCCAGGGATCAGTGCTGGGCCCAGTCCTGTTTAACATCTTTATCGATGATTTAGATGAGGGGATTGAGTCCATCATCAGCAAATTTGCAGATGACACCAAGTTGGGAGGGAGTGTCGACCTGCCAGAAGGCAGGAGGGCTCTGCAGAGGGATCT